AAATATTACTCCATTAAGAAATTTTGAAATGCATTTTTAGGAGCCAGTGTTGTGAGCTTAGGGATTAGGTTCCCAATTTAGGGATTCTGGAGAGACATAAACACTGTGTATATCAAAGGCAATGAATTCCCTAAGGTGGTTGTTGGTGTCATCCATGTTAAAAATAAGAATAATTTATAAAGATTACACTATTTGTACATCCAATCCTTATAAGAATTTCAGATTTTTGTTTAGTTTTGTTTTTTACTGCATAATCTCAGGATAAACAATGTTGTGAATACTGTTACTTTCAACCTAGGAAATAATCCTTAAGTATAAAAATAGTAACATATATTCATATTTTTTATTTGCATCCTCAAAAATGCTTTTGTCACTGATGCAAACATGACCTTTCAGTGCTTTGACAGATACATCTACCATTTATTTAGCAATCACAATATATCAACAATATTGCTTTAAACAGTTGATAATAATCTTCCTATAAAATGTTGATTGATCTTCATAGTAAACTTGATATATCAATAGTTATTATACTCATTGAAAAAACTGAAGAATTTGCATTTGGAGAAGTTAAGAAAATTTTTTTTTGTTAAAGAACACTCATTTATCCATTCATGTGAAATATTTATAAGAATTGGTCCATAAAGCAAATTTTAACACATATCTAATAAATGATACCACATAGACCACATTTGTTTACTATAAAGGCATTTGTTTTACTATAAAGGCATTTTTTTACAAAATTCTAATATATTTGGAATTTTTTTATATGCATATAAACTTTTTTTTATTTTATTTAATGAACATAAATTTCCAAAGTACAGCTTATAGATTACAATAGCTCCCCCCCCATAACTTCCCTCCCACCCACAACACTCCTCTCTCTCCCTCCTTCTCCCCCTCCATTCACATCAAGATTAATTTTCAATTATCTTTATATACAGAAGATCAATTTAGCATATTATTTTATTTTTAATTTTTTTTAATTTTTAACTTTTATTTAATGAATATAAATTTCCAAAGTACAGCTTATGGATTACAATGATGTTGTTTTTGTTAGCTTAAATCATTATTATTTCATTTGTTAAATTGGAATCTTGGCGTAGTAGGTAAAGCTGCCACTTACAATGCAGGCATCCCATATAGGCATTGGAAGAGCTCACTCGCTTCTTTCTTTTTCTCTTTCCCTCCCTCCCTCCCTCTCTCCCTTTTCCCTCCCCATGCCTTTCTGTAACTCTATCTTTCAAATAATTAAATAAATATTTAAAAAGATAAATTTGAATCTTCCTATTTTGAAAGAAAAAGCCAGAATTTTGTATCAAAAATTCAGAGTTTTATGGCAATGTCATTTTATTTTGTGTCATTCTGTTAAAATAAGAAGTACCCAAACACTGGACCACATGTATTTTAAACTTTTTATTCTCCATTGCTCCTTTTAATAAGGCAAAGCATGAAGAAAATAGCAAAGGAATATGCAGGAACTCCTGCTCTATCTATTTCCTGTGTTTAGAGTGACAGATGCTTTCAGTCCCCAAGCATAAATAACAAAATCCAGAAATGCTCTTGAATTCCCTTTACAAGGAATAAAACTTGCTATTAAATGAAAGTAGTTTTGCTCTGCAGCTAAACTAAGCCTTTATTTGGCCTCTGAGAAATAAGCAGGCTAAAGCAGAGACATTAATGCTAACAAAACTGGGTTACAGTGTCAGCCCGCTGACCTTCTGGCTCCCCTGTAGTCACGTTGTTGCCACTGTGCTGCCCTGCTAATTAATTTCCTCCTTAGGTGACAAGGGAGTGTTTAGGGAGGAGCTGGGGTACTTTGTTCCTTTCTACCCTGGATAAATGTATCAGTGGTCCTGGATTGTTTGTAAGCCTTTTAACATTCGTTTTAGAAGGTATTCCACACCAAAGAAAGATTTTCTTTTATACTTTCCCACATGTTTAGAATTTGTCATGGATAATAAGGCAAAACTCTAAATTACACTTAATACATTCTCGCAAAACCAGAACAAAACACAGACCTGTCATATTTGTATTTTGTCATGGTTTCATCTTTAGCCTACAGGGAATGCCAAGGAAAATAGTATTTTCTTCTTGCCTAGAGGGGAAGGCAGATGGTTGAATACATTTAAAACTTCCAGCAACAGTTTTCTATAGCATTAGCAGTAAATCTACCAATTGTAATCTAGTGTCTATTTAAATCTATTTAATTTACATTTAACAAGACACCTCTTATTCTTGTGAGTTAATTAAAGAGTTAGTGACTATTAAAAGGATACTAATTGAAATGCAATAAATAAGATAACTGAGTTGGTGTGTAATTAGCCACATTTACATAAGTAATAAACACTGTATTGCAGTCTTCTAGAATGGAGTTGAACTAATGCTGGTAGTCTAATCTCATATGAGAACAAAAATCTAGGCATTTAATTAACATGAAACAAAATAGCTCTGACAAATTAATTGTATATAATTTTTTGAAGTAACTGCTGAAAGAATAATGTAACCATGTTTTTATGTGGTCTTTCTGAGGTCGCACTCATCTCTAATAAGTATTCAAGAAGATAATTGATTCAAATAGTAGGCACAAGATAACTCTTACTGTCTTAATGCCTTCTTCAAAGTCACCATAATTAGTTAGTGTCCTCAGTTTACTGTATAGCTGCTCCTCAACCTGAGAAATGTCCGCATAGGTTGTTCATGGAATAATTCTAATTTTCTAAAGAAACTCGTGTCCCTGTCAGTTTCCTTACTTAGGATGAGTATATAATTATGATTTAATGGAATAGACAATATATAGTTCACAGTTGTTCTATAGTTTCAAAAGTAATACTTTTTTTTTTTCTTTTTTGGTGTGCATGTACCTGTTTATGGAACATGTTAATGTATCATAGAATGAGGCCTAAAATCTGCATCTGTGTGTTATTTTGCTGAACTAATAAATGAATACAGGCAGAAAAGCAATAAAAAACATATAATAAATCAAAGTATTTAGTGCTTTCTGGGTTATAGTAAAAACTATTTCCTCTCTATTTGTATGTAGGATCTTTTATTAACGAATTGTCTATTTTCAGTATGCTGAATGAACAGAATACCTCTGGACATGTTGCATTTAACTGTTATTTTTTAGTAGCTTGTGATCCATATGTAAATTTTCTCCATTTAAATTCCTGGTGAGTATTGTCATTTGGTATACTTAAAAGAAAAACAAGAATTCTATGACTGTTGGAAGTAATAGATCCTATGAGTCAAAGCACAAAAATTTGTAGGATTTAATTCTAGAGTTTTTTTTTTTTTTTTTCCTGTCATCTAGTTATTTAGTCTTTATTCTCACTGAGGGTATGAACTTTGGGCCAAAGAGCAAGCAAAAACAACATCTAAGTAAAATGGATGTAGATGGAGGTGAGGGTCCACAGGGGAAGGAAGGGAAATACTATTATATCCTCGCTGGAAAGTATCTATTAAACAGTGTGATATTGTAGCCACTGAACTTACTGATACTGTCAACCCTAGGAATTCATTAAAAGGGAGCCCACTGAGATATTTATTTTTAAGAAATACAGTATTTTTAGAAAAATATTTAAGGAATGACAGATATACATGCTGAAAGGATTTTGGTTTAAAGTTAGGTTTAAACCTACAGAAAGGTTTTATTAGTCATGACATTATAAATTGAATTGTCACTGTGATCACCCTATGTATAATAATGCAGGAACATTGTCCTTAGTCTAAATGCAATAGATTCAAATTTTCAGAAAACAATGAAATTCAAAACATACACTTGAACTATTGAAATCTACTAAAATGGACTAATCTGATCATTTTTTAAAACTTTTTTTCTCTTGTTTGATTTCTCATGAACACTTTTCTATAGAGGTATTTCTTATTATGATCAGTTGCTTATTTGGGGAAAAACATCCCTTTTTGTTTACAGATTATTTATAAAAGTTGATTGTATAGCTGTCCAGGACCAATGTCAGACAATATTAGTCACTGAAGGAGCAGATGTTTGGCACAGCATTCAAGGTGCAGTGGTTAAGGCGCCACTGAGATTCACGTGGGACACCTGCATCCCCAACCTAATGCCTGTGTTCAAATCCTGGCTCCTCTCTCTATTCAAGCTTCCTGCTCATGTACATCTTGGGAGGCAAGAAGTGATGGCACAAGTGACTGGGTCCCTTCCACCCATGTGGGAGACCCAGACTGAATTGTAGGCTTGTGGATTTAACTTGCCCCAGCCCTGGCTCTGACTGGCACTTGGGGAGTGAATCAATGGATAGAAGATCTCTGTCTCTCTGCCTTTAAAATAAATAAATAACTTGTAGTCAACATGTTTAGAAGCACACAATTGAGAGATTTGAAAAGAAATATGACATTGACACTGTAATTAAGAGAGACCCCATGAAGTCCAAGGCTCCCCTCTCAAGATGCATAAACCGTACATTCTAGCAGCTGCCAACTTTTCTCCCTGCTTTCCCTCAGCTGGAGGCTTGCTTTTGCTAGGTTTTGGGCTCTTGTACTATGCTTCTGTATATTTCTGTTAGATTTACACTCAAACTACTTTTCTAAATTGAGAAGACTTATAAAATTGATAGAACATTCTCTGAATTTTAAGTTCTGTAATTTTTCCTTAACCCTTTGCTGTCTGTTCTGAGAGCTTGCACCTACATAATCAGTGACAGAGTAACACATATTAAGAGAAAACTGAGAGTATGTTCAGAACTAGTAGAGCATTAGTTTAAAACAATTGGGATTTCCATTTGACTTGGTGTCATAAAGACATTTTCTGCTGGTAAAAGTTAATTCTAACTTTACTGATGAATTTTAACATGCCATTATTTACTATTGTTCAGCAAAGAAAAACTTGCCTTCGTGGTGCTCAACCACATGCACACTGAGAATTTCTACCCTAAGCCTCACATTTTCTTCCCTCCAGATGGCTGATTTACATTCTTGCCTTAGGGATTGAATTGAAGTCATTTCACCTATGGTCTCTACAGGTGCCCCTAAGTTAACTGTTCTGCCTACGGATAAAGTGCAAACATCTCTACACACACTGTTTTCTCCTGCAAGGAAAACTCTGAGGACCAGAGTATAAGATGGCCACCACCACACCAGCTCCTATTTCGTTCTTCCAACACAGAAGGCAGTTTTGATTGGACTCCCTGGAGAACCGAACCTGAGGCAGAGACGTGCATGCAAAAAGTCCAGGGGATATTGACTGGAATAATGAGGGAAGGAAGCAGGCTTCAGGGGAGTGAAGAGACTGCATTGCACTTCCAGCAATGGTGTTGGCATATCCCACAGGGAATCTCACGTTGGTTGGCCCATCAGAATCAAAGTGGGGCATGAGGCTGGGCCCGCACTCTCACTTCTGACAGGCATCCGATGTGTGCGCATGACTTGGATAAGTTGCTCCCTGAAGGAGATTGATTTGTGAGGGACCAAGAGCCTACAACTCTGGAAATGCTGTCCTTAGTGCCTTGTTCTCTAAGGTGAGTATCTGGGAGATGCACAGAAACATTTAAATTCTGTTAGCTAGAGTTAAGTCAGGAAGGTTTACTGATCTTTCATAGTTTAACTATTGGCAGTGACATGGCTTTCTGTGTAAAGAGTGTGGTCTCTTTCTTTTTTCTTACCATTAAAATCATTTAAGGCAAAGTGTAGTTCTTTTTAACTGTTAAATAAGTTAGTTTCAACTCAAATGAATGCATTCAAATAGATAAAGATAGATACAAATGTGAAGATATGCTTGCAAAAGTAATGCTTGGTGATTTGAAAGGAACTGACAAGCTCAGGTTATAACCAATGATTAATTAATATTACCTTGGATCCTATACAAAATTGATGATTTTCTTAATTATAGGTGTTTTATCTTCAATTTTTTTCTAGATAAACTGTCCACTCTGCCTGTAAAAAAATAAAAAAAAATTAAAAATAAATAAATATTATAGTAAAGATGCAGCTTGTTAGGCTTGCATTACCTGACATATAAAGAATGTAAATTCTAAGATAAGTTCAAATATTATTCGTAACAATATTATGTAAATGTACTTAAATGACAAAAACTATTGTTTTCTCTGTGAGAAATTGGAAAGGAAACAGGAAGCATAGTTAAATATTATAACATGATATATAAATGATGAATTTCTTGTCAGGAATTTTATAAGTTGTACTGGGCAAATAATAATTTTTCATAATTTTCAATCAAAATTCTCATTTTAGTGGTGGGTATTGGACGTAGTAATTAAGATGCCTCTTGGGATGCCCCCATGCCATAGCAGAGGGTTTGAGTCCTTGGCTGTACTCCTGACTCCATCTTCCTAATAATGTGGATTCTGGGAGGTAGCACCTGTTGACTCAGGAATATATGACCTTACCACCCATGTGGAGACTTGCATGGATTTCCTGGCTTTTGACTTTAGCCTGGCCTAACCCTGCATTGTGGGTATATTTGTAGTAAACTACTTGATGTAAGCTCTTTATGTTAGTTTTTCTCTCCCAATCGCATCCCTTCTTCCCACCTTCTCCCTACCATTCTCTCTCTCCCTTCTTCTCTGAGTCTCTCTGGTCCTCAAATAAAATAAGTAAATGATTCTGACTGTACTCGTTACCTGTAACTTACCAGCACATGTGTCCCTCTTAAGATCTATTGTTTCAAGGTAAAGAAATCTTTTTAAATGGCCACATATTTTTAGAGTCTAAATGTTGCTTTTCTCCTCTTCTATGTGCACAACCTAATAAGAAAATATCTGCTTCTCAATAAGAATAGAAAGTTCTATGACTTACAGTAAAATAAGCCTAGTGTGGGTAGTACTAAAGCAGGTGTGATCCTTGAATTCCTATTAGTTATTAATTCTTGAAATTGTTTGCCCAACACTATTCATTATTTGCCTTCTAAGCACGTAATTATTTGCCATCAATCTGTAGGACCCTTAAAAGTCTGCTGAACCCAGAGGACAATGTGATTTGATGAGCAGATGAATATTTAGCTTAATTCCACCTAATGAATACTTCAATTTTCTAATATGCATCCTAATTTAAAAAAAAATCTGCTGAGTAATTCTGCATCTTAGAAAGTCCGGCAGAACTAACGATTAATAGATTTAGTTTATTGAAGATCTAAATTAGAGGCATTTGTTATTATCTAGAAAACACATTCATTTAGTAAATGATTTGAAACACATGCTGTGGTTTGAGGGTGTCCCTCAAAGTGTCATGTGCTTGACGCTCGGTGGCCAGCACAATGATGTTAAGAGGTGGTGGCGCCTTGGAGAGCTGGAGCATGCTGGAGGTGACTTGGTTATTGGATTTGTGCCCTTAGAAGGGGTGAAGAGAGTTCTCATGGAACCTCAGAAGGAGGTTCTGACGAGGTTGCAGAAGGTTTTTTCTCCAGAGGGTTGTTATGAAGGAGCCAGATGGCCCTTCCCCCACCTCTTTGGCTCCTTGCTTATCATGTTACATCTCCCTCTTGCAGGTGTGTTCACCATGATGCTTTGCAGCCAAGGCGGCCCTTGTCAGAGCCAGCAGCGTCCCTCCAAAACTGTGAGTTCAATTATCCTCTTTCTTTACAAACTACCGAGCCTCAGAACCTCAGTCTGCCTTGGAAAATCTGCACATTCATGAGTCATACACAAGTCTCCAGTGGAATGTTGAGATCCCTGTCTCCTGTCCTGAAAAGACTGCGATCAGTTTACTTTTCTGGTCCAATAGGTCTGGAGTAGCAAGTGGAAATTAGTTCTTTTCAAGGGACTACTACTACAGAACTACTGATAGGCATTTAAATGAATAAAAAGAAACTTTGGTCCAGAAACGGCAGTGACTAAGAAAACACTGGTAATATAGCTTTTCTAAATACTATGCTTCACAAAAATGTATCAAGCAGCAAAATAAGAAATGTTAAGAAAAATGACTTACGCATTTACTTTGTAAATTTATCTTGCTCAGAAGCATATATCTGAATCAGATACTATGCCACCAGAGCAGAGGCCCTGAATGTAAATGGGTGCCAAGTCATGAACTCCTGAAATATAATATTTATGAGGAATAGTAATTAAACACAGAGATGTAAAATAGTGATAAATATTCTAGTGAGACTGAACCCTAGTGAGACGGTACCAGATCTCACATTGTATGAGGGCAGCACCGTAGCATGCCATATCTGCACACTGAATTCAACTGTGTTTCATTCTGGATGTTTTAGACAAAATGTTGATGAAAACACTTAAATTTCTTTAACATTTTGGGCCTAATTGCAAAGAATAATTACAAATGTAATACACAAGTGAATTATAATCTCACCCTTATGAGCTTTACTTTCTTAACCTATTTAAAATTACTATCAATTGGACTTGCTAAGACTTTAACCATAAGAATGGCAAAACCCCTCATAAGAAGAAAAACACTATAAATTAAAAAATAGTCATTATCCATATAATTGGACAAACTTTAAATTAATCCTAGGTTTGACTTGGAAATATTATTAGCATGTTGAACTTGTACAAGATGTAGATGCTTTGCAGACTTAATAAAAGATGACGGGTTAATTAAATATTGGAGATATGCCAAGGCACAGATACCTCCTCATCACAGTGTTCAGCAGGTGCTTGCATCCCAAGTGTTGCATCTCAGTTGTAGGTAAGTTCACAAAATAATTAGGATCATGGTGGATGGTTGGTTTTTAACTTACTTGAATAATTTGGTATTCAGTGTTTAGGAAAATTAGCATGAGATAATACTGGCATAACATGCAAATATTTATTAATGAAGCTAACACTCTGAATATTCATTTGTTTAAAGATTTCACTTAAAATGATCAGGAGTAAATCTGTCTCTCGAGCAGGCAACCCAAAGTCCATCTTAGAGGCCATGATTTCCTAAATTTCCAATGACTTAAGAGTTTATATGACCTTCACTTGGTTTTGTTGAAGATTCAATAGTTTAGTGGTGATTCCTTTTGATGGACTGAATAATATGAATTACAATCATGTTCATACTAAACTTGTATGATTCCAGGAAATCCCAGTAATATCCTAGTAATGAATGCACTATTGCCTTGAATGAATTGTGAATTCTGTAAAATTTCCCCACTGTATCTTCAGGTTCCTCATCTACACATTCAACAGATAGCAGATGGAAAATAGTTGTAAAAAAATGTGCCTCCATTGAAAGTGCATAGATGTTTTTCTTGTCATTATTCTGTAAACAATGCAGTATAGGAGGTATCTGTAACAGTTACATTATGTTAACTATTATAAGCCATCTAGACATGATCAAAAGTATACGACACGATGTGCAAAGGTTATATGAAGATCTGAAAAGCCATTTTCTATGTAAGGGACTTGGACATCTGAGAATTTGGTGTCTGTGGGAGATCCCATGGGTGCTGTATTTTCCTTCTCATCTGCTTCTACACCTCCATCTTTTTCTAGATTGGAATCTTCTTGAGGGCAAATAGCTTTGTGTTTTGGTCTTCCACCAGAATCTAGAAAAGAGTAATAATACAGAAAATCATAAGGGACTATGCCGTGGCTCACTTGGTTAATCCTCTGCCTGCAGCGCCAGTATCCCACATGGGCACCAGTCTAGTCCCGGTCGCTCCTCTTCCAGTCCAGCTCTCTGCTGTGGTCTGGGAAGGCAGTGGAGGATGGCCCAAGTGCTTGGGTCCCTGCAACCGCAAGGGAGACCGGGAGGAAGCACCTGGCTCCTGGCTTCAGATCAGCATAGCTCTGGCCATAGTGGCCATTTGGGGAGTGAACCAATGGAAGGAAGACCTTTCTATCTGTCTCTCTCCTTCACTGTCTAACTCGGTCAAATAACAAAAATTTAAGAAAAAAGTCATATAATACTTAAGAAAATCTAATAACAGATTACAAAAATTTATTGCTGATTATATTTGTCAATATATGATTTTATTTATATTATTGTGCTTGTAATTCATAATTCATAACAGATTATATAAATTACATTTTAAATATGTTCATTTACTTTTGTATCTAACTCAAAACCACCTGAAGGGGCTCTAATTATGTGTTTATACCTTACACAAAGTGAACATTCTATATATTTATGCAAATTTTTGGTAAATTACATGAAAAATATGGAAGCATGTAATCTAAATGCCAGTTAACTTTTTGATTAGTTTTATCTTTATTCTCAAGTCATCTCATTTCTATGAATCCAAACTATATAGGTGAGCCTAAATTAATAGATCATTTCAACAGAATCATAAAACAGGGTCCAATCACATAAAAAGTCTTTTATGTTAGCTGTTTGATATCTCTCCAATAAAGTGATACATATTTTATAGGGAAATTGTAACCACTCTTGATATTAGAGAGAGAATTATAACTCTGCTTGATCCTGTATTCTAGGCAAATGTATGAGCCCTTGGTCCCTAAATAGTGAAATGCCTTCAAGCCAATTTGAGAGAAATAATAACAATTTGGAATAATATGTGCTCAGTTTCCACTTGTCCACCTCTGAGTATATTCTTAATTTTGTGGTTAAAGGGCTATTACAGAAGAGAGCAGAATGAAGTAATATTCAGCAGGTGGTAGGCAATATGTGCACATGATAATCATTAGGGAACCACCTGGATTTGTCTCATCCCAGCCAAACCCATCTCTTATCCGATAATACAACATGATTCAGACATTAGGGAAAAAGACATGGAGTTACTTATTCCCAATGCAGTGATATACAGTGACTGTTTAGAATATTCTAAACTATATGGATGTTTATTGACTTTTGACAGGATTATGTCCTTACATACTCATCATAAATTGAAAATACCTTAAGTCGAAAATGCATTTGGAACACCTAACCTCCTGGAATCACAGCTAAGCAATACAGTACATAACACTCAAGAATGTCATTTGTTTCCTCTCATGATCATGTGGCTGACATGAAGCTGCAGCCTGCTGCTGCTGCCCAGCATCATGAGAAAATGTCATAACATTAAGCCCAAGAAAAGATCCAAATTAAAAGTATAATTTCTACTGAACGCACAGCACTTGCATATTTTTGTAAAGCTGAAAAACTCTAATCAAACCGTGATGAGACAAGACAGTCCATTTATAGAAATATTGTTTATCTGTGTCTTTGTAAATCTATCTAAATCTATACAAAATAAAGGAAGGAACTAATTTCGGTGTACTGGTACAGATTTTCTTTGCTTTTCTCTATTCAAATTGGTGTTTCACTAAGAAGGAAATCATGTACAGTTCTGCAAGCAACAATAATTGATAAACATTTGTATTATGCTTAATAATATTGTGAGCTTTGTAAAGCAGGTTTTAGATTTTATCATTAATTTGTTTAATATTCAGATTATTTACCAACAAATATTCAGAGTATTTAAGCTGTGATCAAAATAGTTACTGCTCAGTCTGTGAGCTTTAGCTCTCATTTGGAAAATAGAAGCAGTCCCATTTAATAAGATTTTTAGAAATATACAAAGAACAAATACAAGGGAAGTCCCTGGAAAATTGTCTATCGCTTTGTAAGTACTGATTTTGTATTAAATTATAGCTAGTCTGCCAAAATATGTTTTGAAATGAAAAAAGATCAGATTTAGTTAAATCTTAAACAAAATTTAGGAGTTTTATTCAAACTATATTATTGGTGATACAATTTAGGGGTCGAGAAAGGCTGGTAATTATCAAAGATTAGAATATTTTATGTAAAGTGATATTACCTTGGAGGACATGTCTCTTTATCTTTGTCAAGGCATTCTTTGCAGCAGGAGAAAGATGATGAAAAAGGTGGAGATTATAACTTTGCAACTTTTTTGACCTATTTTTTGGTCTCTTCTATTTTTAGTAAGCTTTTTTTAATTCTTCAGATCCTAGAGAGGCGTTACACACCTTGAGCATCATTTCAGAGGTGATAATACAGTATATAAATTAGAGGATCTATGAGAAATAGTTGACTATGAATGCATTTTGCATAACTTGTATAAGACATGAGGGGAGAAAATATTATAAAAGAGTATTTATGCTATTTCTAGCTTCCAAAGTGTTATTAAGCAAAGCATAAGAATGCATTCATCCTGCATAAGAGGGGAAGAGTCTTGAGATGTAATAAAGGTTTATGATTTTGATTAAAATCAATACATTTTCTAGACCATTGTGTTATACTCTTGAAATGAAGCGGTTAGTTTGGCAGCACACTGTTAATCTATAAAATGTTAGTGTCTTTTTTTTTTTTCTACTTGCCCAGAGTTAGAAGAGTCTTTGTGTTTTCAGTTTGATCCAGTGCTCCTATGTGTGGAATGACACTCATTACTTTCATTTGTCAATCTTTTTGTAGACGATCCTTGCATAATTTTAAGAGCATCATCAAACATTCCAAACGGGTTATAGTTATTTTAGTATTTCATTGTAATAATTTCTGTCCAACCATAGAGAGGAAATGTTTCATTATTTGGCCTATCGCTCTATCTTTTCTGCGTTTGCTCTAAGTAAAACTTTGTTATGAAAAATGTCAACACAAATTCCACATTGTAGAATGATTACGTTATTGAAGACTGCAGATCAGATAATGTATCAGTATTTGTTCCCTACTTCATCATTAGAGCTACGCCTCCAAAGGAAATTGATAAATTGCTAGTAATAGGTGCTTTCTGAGTGTCTGCAACTATGTTCTTTATACAGAACAAACTGGAAAACATCAGTTGGAAGAAACTTACTGGGGAATTAAGAATATTTTATTAGGGAAAGAAGAAAGTGTTTCTTCTATTTTAAAAAAATGTATTTAGAGAATACATATCAATTTAGTGTTTAAACCAATTTTTCTTAGAGTATACAAAAGCAGGGGATATGTTTTAAACAATGCTCATCTTTTCTTTAAAGGAATGTTGTTAAAATTCCCATTTACAAATTAATTTTAATCTATTTTAATTGACAAGTTAAAGTGAGATGGTAATAAAAAGCCTTAAGGGAATAGGAAAATTCACTTTAGAAAGAGGCTATTTTCCCTACCACTCTGTTAATGTGTCAAGAGAAGGGTCTGAGCAAATTCAGGGTTGGAATGATATATGGCAACTTATTAATTTCAATTATCTTTCATCATTTTCAATAAACACCATTCAAATTCTCTTTCTCTTTGGTTAACATGCCAGTTATAAGAACATTGCATTGTAATTAAGTGTTCAGATTCTAGGTGCTTATTAGACAAACTGTAAACTTGTTTTGGATTTCAGGGATGCAAAACCACCCCATTTCTCTGACACTCTGTTTATTTCTTGGTACAAGCTCCTTCTACTTTTCTATGCGTTTTCTAAAACAGACCTTCCTTAGTGCTAAAGTAAGTGTGTAGAAAGTTTAAGACACTAGCATCCCAGATGAGATTATTCCCAGTTAGGGATAATGAGAATCAAAGAGATTCCAGAAGGATACTCGGCCATAGGAAAGAGAACAATAAATAAAAAACTAAAACAAAAATGCACAATATTTCAACACTGTAGAAGTTTTCAAATCCAATTTTATTGCTCTGAATGTGCGTGTGAACCAGACATAATGGCCATTATTTTTAGAAGGTGTCCAGGATTAGATATAATGATGCCTTTATGTGCTTCAAAATGGATTTATTCCCCAAGCAATCATGCTGAATGCAAAAGCACACTATAATGTGAAATATTTACCTCTTCTATTGAGTTTCCCAAGTGTGTGTTCATAGTCCCCAAAGTAAGATTAAAAACAACTTTATGAAAACATTTCTGTGTCCTACACTACTCTAGTTTCTCTTAGGTATAACACTAAATTTCCCCAGAGCCTCTCACATTTTCAGGTCTTAATTCAGGAGTATATATACTAATTAAGAAAAATGCATTTATTTTAAGAAGGGCATTTTGTATTATGTCACATGAGGATAATACCTTGGTCATATTAGATACCTACTTAGACTTTTATTAAAAGTCATGCTTGTAATTGTGTCATATACAGTATTGGTACCAACTGCTTAAATTTGGACATAGATAAAGCTTGAGAGACTAGAGGAAGGGCATATATATAATACATAATATATAATAATGTATTATATATTAATATATATAATTATATGTATTATATATTATATAACATTATATATAATATATATAATTGTAAAAGTTGAATGAAAGATTGTTGACATATTGCTCTAAGGTAAGCTCAGAGATACCAATTTCTTTTGTTAGTCAGCCAATATGGTTTTAAATAAAATAAGATTCAAAATTATTCCAACCACTAATAGTTTTTTCTCATTGCTTAAACTTAATTTTTGTTAAAATATTTTATTAACAATAATTATATATATTTATGGGTACAGTGTTTGGTATTTTGTGCTTCTAGAAACACTTTTTAAATTTATTTCAAGATTAAACATGTTTTTAACACTTTGCCATATTCACCTCATAAATAGATGTTTTGTATATACCCATATATACTAGAATTTCTTGAAAATAGGGATATTTAAATCACATAATCAGATTAGCATAAATGACCATAAAGTGATAAAAGAAGGGTATATTGTCATGCAGATGGTATAATTTTGTGAAAACAATATTTATATATAGTCTTTTGAGATTAGAGTTATTTGTCAATGTAATATTTCTTCTAGAAAAATATTTTATCTTATATTCAACATATCCTTTAGTTTTGTTTCTGTTACTTGCTTCTTTATAGCCAGCAAAGCAAGATTTACTTATTAAAATATTTTATGTAGAATGCTTTCACAATCCTTAAGATTATCTCTTGCTCTCTGGACTTGTTCATCCAAATGGTTGAGATGGCCATTTCATTACCAAATCTATGTTCCTTTTCCAAGGTGTTGAATCATCACTGGGAATAGCCACCCAGCCAGGGACTAACATCACACTCCTCCTTGCTAACAGCACACTCTGAGTGTGACCCTCTGAATATCTCTCATTCAGAGATATGAGCTGAAGGGATATGTGACACTTTGGGGGGCAATGATTTTAATGATTTTCAAACTTCATTTGCTCATCTGAAGCTAACCTCTGCTGGTGTTGCTAATCAGGGAAGGACTCTACAGTAAAACTAAGACAGGGTGCTTATGCTGTCCCTGAGTCTTATCTCTAAGAAAACTGTTTCTAAAGTTACTACAATCAAAGCTCTCCTGACAATAATGGGATTTCTATGTAGTGTAACTACAGGATGAAGATGTAGTACTTGATCCGACATAAATTCTGAATTTCAGGTCTTGTGACAACTTTATTCTCACGGTAATTAATAAAATTGCAATCTGTTTTTTCTCTTCAGTCTCTGCTGTTTAGTTAGCATAAGATTGTCCCTCAGGGACTGATTATCCCTGAAAATGGAAAGAAGGGCATCCCTGAGCTTCCCAAGCAGAGAGCCAGATGCAGCCAGCCTTCTCTTTGATCATTTCATTACAATTTACATCTTCATTCATTCTAATGAATTCCAAAATGAGAATATGAATGTATTTGTTTCCAAAGAATACATCTTTTAATGTCAGTTGAACTGTTTCTGCCTCTCGTAAAATATTAATGTTTTATTATGTGATATTGAATGCATATTGATCATAAGGGAGTTTATCTTATTGGAATACTAAAAGTTCAGAGATTATTAATAAACATGTAAGTTGAATTTAAGCATTTTGTGAATATGGGAGTTTCTATACATGCAAAGTTTTGTTATTATACCAAGTATATAGAAAATGCACATCAATGATTTTTATAACCCAAATTATTATTATTTGTTCTTATTTTTGACTTCAGTAAAGAAACATCCTCAAAATGACCTAATTTTTTAAAAAAGAAAGCTTTTGGACATTAACTCATTATATATGACAGCATAAAAAGCATTCCATAGAGCAACATCTAAACTTCAGTGAAAGCCATTCTCTTCTTTAGTTATTAGAATTTCTCTTTGAATTTGAGAAAATTCTAGCTATTTGATGTATTAATTAATGAAATTAATTGGTAGAACATTGGTCTTATAACCCATGATATATTAAATGACTCTACAAGATATTTCTGAGTCAATTAAGAAACAAACCTGTAATATAGGATGCGGTAAATTTGCTTATAAGAAGTAGTAGTATCTCAGGAAAACCTGGTGTTTGAGAACAAATAACTAACTGTAGAAGTGGTTATGAGCCCAAAGAAAGTAGAACATCACTTCTCGGCCTTTTGGCTAAGATCGAGTGTAGAAAGAGGAGAACAAATCCAGGATAACACAGAATCTAATTTACTGAGGAGTTATGATAGAAGTCTGCTATTGGGTAATGCCAAGTTAGGTGGACTCCACGCAGCAGGGCAACAGGAAGCAGTTTATATGCTAAGCCAGACAGAGGTGGACTTTCTCAAGAAATATTAACAGGTCAGGAAGCAGTTAAATGCTATACCAGGCATTTGTACCTGCATGAGAAATTTGGTAGAATGCCTTAAAAACTTTTATTCCATAGATGTGGGTTGCTTGTCAGGGTCCCCTAGTGTGCAAGTTGGTGGTTACCACCATCCTGTCTTTAGTCATGTCAAGCTGTATCTACAAATAGTTATCAAATATTTCCTTTCATCTGAGATGGAAAAAGCATAGAAAATGCCATTCTACATCTGATTCCACTGCCAAATTATGAGCTATATTTGGCCAATAAATGAAATGCAATCTAAAGGCATAGTTGGCAGAAGTGCATAAATGAGGTTTGTACCTAACAATTTCATCAATAATATTTAAAGAAGGAAGGGATGCGGTTATTGAAACCAGTAATAAGCAAACCAGTCTCTTCCAGAGTTTAATTTTTTTTTTTTTTGATAGGAACCCTTTCATGCTCTTTTCCATTTCAGTGGAAGTAGTGCTTGTTAACTTGTTTGTTTTTCACATATTTCTTAATTCTGCAAAACCTGGTAATGGTTATTTAACAGCACTATTTCCAAGCATTTTGGGGGCTGCTCAACTGAAGCATGGGTGAACTTATCCTTTAAGATCCTTCAGTCTTGGCTGGCGCTGCAGCTCAACAGGCTAATCCTCCGCCTTGCGGCGCCAGCACAGCAGGTTCTAGTCCTGGTCGGGGCAACGGATTCTGTCCAGGTTGCCCCTCTTCCAGGCCAGCTCTCTGCTGTGGCCAGGGAGTGCAGTGGAGGATGGCCCAAGTGCTTGGGCCCTGCACCCCATGGGAGACCAGGAGAAGCACCTGGCTCCTGCCATCTCAGTGCGGTGCGTTGGCCGCAACGCGCTGGCCGCGGTGGCCATTGGAGGGTGAACCAACGGCAAAGGAAGACCTTTCTCCATGTTTCTCTCTCTCACTGTCCATTCTGCCTGTCAAAAAAATAAAATAAAAAAAAAGAGAGAAAAAAAAAAGATCCTTCAGTCTTTTTAGAAGGAAGAAGCACACCCATTGTTCAATACAGTAGCTAGGGGGTTAAGCTTCATAAGAAATACTTCAGGAGTTTACAGGGCCAGGGGTTTAACATTCTTGTAGGAGAAAACACATAAGTTAAAATGTGAATGTCTACAGGGTACAAGCAGGTAAGGAAAATGTGTGATGCAGTCCAAGTGGAAGATACAGGCATACCTTATATTACACACAGTCATATTCTTTATGACCCTTGCACTGAATTGCCTTCTAGTTTAAAACATATTTTTCTACAGTTGATAGAGATAAGGATACAGAGAAATATAATGTAAACATTAAGATGGAGTATGTGGGGAAATAAATTTTAAAGACTTGTGACAGCTTTACTGAGGCTGCAGGGGGGTGGAACTGGTGGTGGGTGGACCCTGACCACAGGGCTCAGTGTTGGTGAGGCGTTAGCTGATGGTCCAAGGGCTGTAGTGGGTTCTGTATTGTCAGATCTGCTGGATTTTGAGAGAAACTGGAATGATGGTTTTGTATGTAAAATCTCAAAAAATTGCATCAAAAATTGAAAACAAAATGTGTCTGGGCCACATCAAATGCATATGCTGAATTCAGTCAGAGGAGACACTTGACAATGCTTCCTGAGGTTACTTAGAGTCTGAAAGAATAGGAGAACTTTTTTACCTCAGTGATAATAATTTCTAAGTCTGTTTGGTTTATATTCACAACAAATACAATAGAAGAAGAACTGTCAGAGTGACACACATTTATATAATTTGTTTTAATCCTTCAAAACCTTTTTTTGCTATGGAACTTAAGAAATAGCAGAGAATGACATACATGATCTTGCAAATATCATAATATATAATTCTTTTTTAAAAATTTCTTTCATTTTCTTTCTTTCCATTGTATTCTCCCTCTGGTTATTTTTCCCTATAAATTACTTGAACATAATATCCTAAGGATGAGTTTGAAGAAACATTAATATTAAGCAAGTAATTAACCTTACATGAAATGTTTTTCAACAATTGAGTAGTATTGACTATTATGAATATTTGAAAAAATCATTAGTTGAACACAAGTTTGTTATACAACACAATATCATTTTTACTCTATAAAGTAGTATGTATGATCTTAACAGATTTCTAAAACTCATATGTTCCTATTTACTAGAAACTAGTTTCATTTAGAAATTGAGATATAAAAATAAGGTAATAATATTGGTTACGCCATAAAACTGCTGAATAATGAAATAACCTGTAACATTCACATTCTCTTCCTCAAAATCCTAATTTATCATAGTTGCTTTTATGTCTTCTCCAAAATTAAGATTACCTACAGCTAGTAAACATGCACATATATTGTTTTTATTGTTAAATAGTGACTTACAATAACATTTATCTCACATACGAATTCATCAGAGTATGTTTTCCCAATGAGAGCTCCTGGGTTAATAATATTTAAAACTTTATGATGACATCTAGAAGAATTGTGCCAGTTTACTCCGTCACCAGCAAGGTGGGCATGTACGTGTTTCTGGGCACAATGACACTTCCCACTACTCTCCCTCCTTCCTACCCATTGCTTCTTGGTTAAGATCAAGAATATAGCGTTCTTAAATTTGTGCCCTAATGCCATTCCCAAAAACATCAATACCATATTTGTAATAAATTTATGA